TCTGAAAAATTGGTTTTATCAAAACATGTTTTTGTACCGAGGTTTTTGATGTTTTTTTTTTGATCTGATATATGTTTTGTTCTGTTTGTGTGGTGTCATAGCAAGGTCGTATATAGTATCTTGTATTCAACAAATTTGTAAAATTATGGTTTGTTTGTTTCCCAGTTTATCTCTTGACGCTATTATTAGAATGATTGATTCACAATCCAGTTATTAATTTTGATTTCTTATACTGTAAGTTCTTACTCTTTTTTGGGATCATCCTAATCCTTGGGTCGTATTTTCGTGGCAAGACGGTTTTGCGAGGAAAAATATCAATTCAAAAAGATAATTTGTTAGTGCTCTTGAAGAGATGTTTGAGATTGACGGTTGGGGAATGCAAAAATACTTGTCTTTCATTGAAGGTATATGGGTTTTCCATGTATGAAATCTGGGTAGATGTTTCAGATTCAGTTGACTGCGTTATTGAACTACTGGTAGTGCGGGGTTTCCGGTTTGAATTTTGGAGTGGGTCAACCGTTGAGGATTTTGTTTTTTGATAATGATTAGCAATTCTGAGATGGTTTTCTTTTGTATTTTTGTCAGAGGAATTCAAGAAGATATATGTTTTTGGTAATATCCTTCGATAAATGTGATTTTTGAAACTATTGCTAGTGAAAAGGCAATTCATGATTTTTTGGGAACAACAATTCTTGACTTTTGACAAGTGGGTTAGATATAGGGAAACTTTGGTAAGACCAGTCTAATGAGTCGAGTTTTAAGTTGCTAGTTCTTTCTTTTTAATTATAGGATGATCGGGAGTCTTTTTGTGGGAGCATAATATTAAGCTAGGAGATCAGGTGATTTTTCAGCTTTAGACCTTGTCTTTTTTTTGGTCTGAGCTCATACAATAATGTTAATTTTCATGTTCAGTGATAGCAGGGGATTGTAAATTTCATATAATGTTTATTTGAGTTGCGTCAAATTAGAGGTTGTGGTTGTTTATGACCTGAAGGTTCTGAAAGTGGACTTACAGTTTTAGTTCAAGTTTTGAACTAATCGTTCATTTGATTTGTGGTGGAGAATTGAATATGTGAAAACTTGGAGAGCTGCGATTGGCTAACTGTTTCAAATTCATTTCCGAGAAATTAAAGTTTGGTTTTGGAATTTGAATTCATTGAAAAAGAATCAGACATATATCTTAAAAAGATGTTTAAGAGGGGTATAGAGGGTATTTGCCAAGTAATTGTATACTTTTGAGTGTGTTTTGTTTTCAGCTTGGCTCTTGAAAATCGAATTTTTTTTAAAAAATTTTTGATTTTGGAAAAAAAATTTTATAATCATTTCTCGGTTGATTTCTATCTCTAGATGGCTGGTGTTGTTGTGATTTTTCCTCTCTTCCAGATATTCAGTTCAATTGTAAAATTTGAGCTGATTTGAAATTGAACGTTTTGTTTTAGCAACATTTTTCAGAAAAATTATAGGTTTTTGATCTGTGAAAAGAACTGTTGAATGTTTTGATCCGAGAGTTAAAAAATTGTATTCTGTCAAATTTACATATTATAGCTGTTGTAGCTTCGAATTTCGAAACATATTTTTGATCGCTGACTAGTTTATATTTATCTTTTGGTAGATATTGTTGTTTTTTGAGGTGTTGTTTAGTTGTTGCGTCGAGTTCGGAAATTGCGTTTCGGTTTCTGAAAAATTGGTTTATTAAAACATGTTTTTGTACCGAGGTTTGTGATGTTTTTTTTTGATCTGATAAATGTTTTGTTCTGTTTGAGTGGTGTCATAGCAAGGTCGTATATAGTATCTTGTATTCAACAATTTTGTAAAACTATGTTTTGTTTGTTTCCCAGTTCATCTCTTGACGCTATTATTAGAATGATTGATTCACAATCCAGTTATTAATTTTGATTTCCTATACTGTAAGTTCTTACTCTTTTTTGAGATCATCCTAATCCTTAGGTCGTATTTTTGTGGCAAGACGGGTTTGCGAGGGAAAATATCAATTCAAAAAGATAATTCGTTAGTGCTCTCGAAGAAATGTTTGAGTTTGACGGTTGGGGAATGCAAAAATACTTGTCTTTCCTTGAAGGTATATGGGTTTTCGATGTATGATATCTGGGTAGATGTTTCAGATTCAGTTGACTGCGTTATTGAATTATTGGTTGTGCGGGATTTTCGGTTTGAATTTTGGAGTGGGTCAACCGTTGAGGAATCTGTTTTTTGATAATGATCAGCAATTCTGAGATGGTTTTTTTTTGTATTTTTGTCAGAGGAATTCAAGAAGATATATGTTTTTGGTAATATCCTTCGATAAATGTGATTTTTGAAACTATTGCTAGTGAAAAGGCAATTCATGATTTTTTGGGAACAACAGTTCTTGACTTTTGACAAGTGGGTTAGATATAGGGAAACTTTGGTAAGACCAGTCTAATGAGTCGAGTTTTAAGTTGCTAGTTCTTTCTTTTTAATTATAGGATGATCGGGAGTCTTTTTGTGGGAGCATAATATTAAGCTAGGAGATCAGGTGATTTTTTAGCTTTAGACCTTGTCTTTTTTTTTGGTCTGAGCTCATACAATAATGTTTATTTTCATGTTCAGTGATAGCAGGGGATTGTAAATTTCATATAATGTTTATTCGAGTTGCGTCAAATTGGAGGTTGTGGTTGTTTTTGACCTGAAGGTTCTGAAAGTAGATTTACAGTTTTAGTTCAAGTTTTGAACTAATCGTTCATTTGATTTGTGGTGGAGAATTGAATATGTGAAAACTTGGAGAGCTGCGATTGGCTAACTGTTTCAAATTCATTTCTGAGAAATTAAAATTTGGTTTTGGAATTTGAAATCATTGAAAAAGAATCAGATATATATCTTAAAAAGATGTTTAAGAGGTGTATAGAGGGTATTTGCCAAGTAATTTTATACTTTTGAGTGTGTTTTGTTTTCAGCTTGGCTCTTGAAAATCGAAATTTTTTAAAAAAATTTTCAATTTTGGAAAAAAATATTTATAATCATTTCTCGGTTGATTTCTATCTTTAGATGGCTGGTGTTGTTGTGATTTTTCCTCTCTTCTAGATATTCAGTTCAATTGTAAAATTTGAGCTGATTTGAAATTGAATATTTTGTTTTTGCAACATTTTTCAGAAAAATTATAGGTTTTTGATCTGTGAATAGACTGTTGAATGTTTTGATCCGAGAATTAAAAAATTTTATTCTGTCAAATTTACATATTATAGCTGTTGTAGCTTTGAATTTAGAAAAATATTTTTGATCGCTGACTAGTTTATATTTATCTTTTGGTAGATATCGTTATTTTTTGAGGTGTTGTTTAGTTGTTGCGTCGAGTTCGGAAATTGCGTTTCGGTTTCTGAAAAATTGGTTTATTAAAACATGTTTTTGTACCGAGGTTTATGATGTACTTTTTGATTTGATATATGTTTTGTTCTGTTTGTGTGGTGTCATAGCAAGGTCGTATATAGTATCTTGTATTCAACAAATTTGTAAAACTATGGTTGGTTTGTTTCCCAGTTTCTCTTGACGCTATTATTAGAATGATTGATTCACAATCCAGTTATTAATTTTGATTTCCTATACTGTAAGTTCTTACTCTTTTTTTGAGGTCATCCTAATCCTTGGGTCGTATTTTCGTGGCAAGACAGGTTGGGGAGGGAAGATATCAGTTCAAAAAGATAATTTGATAATGCTCTCGAAAAAATATTTAAGATTAACGGTTGGGGAATGTTAAATCAACCCAAGAGGGGAACACAAATAGATTCTTCGATAAAATTATAGTACCTATTAAATTTAAAGTTATTTCTAGGCCTGGGTCAGTTTTAAGAGGTGAGATTCAAGTGAGGGATGAGAAACCGAAGTTCTTCATTTTTTAGCCCAATTTCAATGGTTTGAGTCGGAAGAAAATTTCCAGTTAGTCCTGGATAGTTTATAAAAATAGGATAGTGAATCGAGGTTTGACACTTCAAATAAGGAGATCAGCTCGAAGTTTTGATCCAAGGAAAGCCTTGATGATAGAAATTTCAATTAAAGTTGTTTCAAGAGCAAAAATTTTAGAATTAAAGACTTGAAATTGACAAAATACAGATCCAAGGGAAGCCTTGATGATCTGATCAAAAAAATCTTGATTTGAAATTTATAAACAAGAATAAGCCTTGATCAAAAATTTCAAGAATAATTGAATGGTTAAAAATGGTTAAAGCTTCAAGAAAGGTTTTATGATCTTGTTTCTAATTAGGTTAATTGTTTAAAAAAATTTATTGTCGTAGATGAAGGAGAGCAACAACAGAAATGATACATGAGAAGCAAAAAATCATCAATTTTTGGATGAATTTACCATTAAAGTTATTTATTATTTAATTTATTCATTTTTTAAATTATAATTCAAAACAAAACACATATAAAAAAAGTAGTGCAGATTTAGAGTTTTGAGGTAGATGTAGTTTTGTTTGTCGACAGTTTATTTAAGTTCTATTTTAAATAAAGGTATTATCAAGACAATACGGCTGATTAAGTCAGTTGTTTGGCTCTATTTAAGACAGCTTAAACAAAATTTTGAAATTTAATGATTTGTTTGATCGTCGTCGTCTGCTTTTTCTCGCTTTGCGATGCAGTTATTTGGCTTTCGTCATTTTTCTGACCCGACTTTGTCTTTAGTAATTGCTCGGCTTCACTATAGTTTTTAGGACGTGGAAATAACTTAAGTTTAATTTTTGTTTGTCTTGGTTTTTTTTTCGTTTTGTCACATCTTTGTTTTTTCAAAACCTGAGTTAGTATAGGTCTGCTCGAATCTCGTTTGGTCGCACCAGATATGTTTAGAACCGGGCGGCCTTCTCATTTTGTTTTGTCGATTACCAACACGCAATTTTTAAAGTGAAAACACGTGAAAATTTATAAGAGTGTAGATTATTTTCGGATGGGGTACATCGTCTTTTCGTCACGTCATCTAATTTTCGGCCGGATAGATTCGTGCAACTTCTTAGTCTAATACCAATCCTAACCTTATTCTTATTAAATCTAGTCTCAGTAGGTTTAGTATATTTTGGTATTCTTGCGAGGTTAGAAGAAAAGAAGAGCAACTGCTTTCTAAGTTAAATAATTTTTTTATCTGGCTGAAACTATAAATAGTTCAAGCTTTACAAACTATCACAAGTTTTGTAATGGATCATAATTGGTTATAGTTCTAAATAGCTTACAGTGATTTCTAGCTTGTAATGGTTGGATATAAAATACTTTTTTTAAACTGATTCCATCACTCTCATTAATTAAGTTTCTTCATAAAAGAAACCCACATTTCAAAAAAACTTCATAATTCAATGTACCACAATTTTTAGAGTGGGTCAGCGTGGTCAAATTTATAGTGGAAATGCCGAAAAATCTAGTTGATCTTGCACTTGTACTTTATGCCAAATTAGCCAGTTGCTCTGCGAGTAGCAGAGTATTTCGATGACAGTAATCAAATAGAAGCAATTGTTAAAGAAAAAAAAAGGTTCGAAGATAGTATCATAGGAATTTAACTAGAATTATATAAGTAGTTCACCATCTCGTTCATTTCGCCATGTCAGACCCGCGTCTCTCGACTCAGAAATTTTTTTCGGAAATCCGATTCGGCCATTAGGACTTCAATATACATTCCCGGGTTGACCAAAACTTCTTATCATACAATTTTCATATATGAGAAACTTCTTGTCATACAATTTCATACAATTCCATACGTACAAAAAACTGTATGAAAACTCTATGATAAACATTTTTCCATATATGAAAATTGTATGATAAGTGTTTTCCCATAAACCAAAAAGTTTGATTTTTTCTTTCTGAATTTAGCCTCTGAAAAATTTTCGGTTGTGTTTGCAACCGAACACAAGTGACAAAGACCTTGGTTACTCAAAACACCAAAGGTTGGACGTCTTGCTTTTACAATGCTTAGAAAACGACCTGCATTTGGCTGTCTTTCACAATTAATGTAACAAAAGTAACAAACTTTTATTTTTTGGCAAAATTTTTTAATGATGATTATTTCAAATTTTTGATTTTTCAAATTATCAGACATTGATTAAGGCATACATTAACACCCCATTTAAAGGAAATAGGAGTTTTCTGCGTTTTTGAAAAAACAATTTATGTGAAAAGAAAATAAAAGCCAATTTTATCGTATCCAGGACTACGTTATGCACACAAAATATTAAATTTTGCATGCAAAAATTTTTTTTCGAAAAATGTTTGTTTGCGTACGAAATCCGATTTGCTGTTGAAAAAAAAAAAAAATTTTGGGCCAAATTTTCAAAATTACTTCAAAACGCCAGTCGCCATCAAAAAAATGCCAGTCATACAATTTCCGTATATGGGAATTGTATGATGAGCATTTTTTTCAAAAAACGAAAATCTCAGTTTTTTTATCACCAGACTGTTTTATTAGAATCAAACAGCAACAGAAATAAGTTTATACCAATTTTCAACCATTTTTATAAACTGTATGAAAATTGTATGACAAGCATTTTTCCACACACTTGATGTATGGAATTGTATGATAAGCATTTTCGGTGTATGGAGGTCACACCGGGTTATTGATACCATTAAGCCTTCTAATACCTCGAGATTTACTTGAGTTATAAAAATTTTCGCATTAATAGCCCACGCTGTGCTATAATTTTTTCCTACATCGAGAAAAAGTCAAAAATTATGAAACTTTCATTTATGCTTATGGAACAATAGTATAATGGATCAAATTATTTTTCCAAGAAAAAACAGTTTCTACCTCGAATCAAACCAAAACTGAAAAACCTTAGAAAGAGCTTTGCCGGAGCTGTGGTCCACGTTCACTTTTGACATGTTTAGGCTGTCTGGTATGACCCTCAACTGGCTGCTCAGCTGCAGAAAGAAGTGCAGCATGGACTCCTCTGAGCAACAAACGCCCCACAGTTTTTATACAAAATTTTCGTTTCTATTTTTGAATGTAGATGAAAATATATTCTAATCAAATCGTAAAATGCCTTCAAAATTACGTTTATTAATTTTTTTTTGTTGAATAAGAAAACTAAATTTACTCTGTTGCTAATTCGGCACTAGTTTAAAAAATGTTCGAATTCCACTGGTATAATACTAAACTGATTAACTAGTGATAAAAGAATAAAAAGAGAATTAAATTAAAACTGTTTATTTTCTCTTTAACTGGACTTCAAATAGAACTATCCAATGGACATCGAATGGACACATTCATTCGACTTCGAATAGACACAAACATGACATGTATCCAATCAAGAATTGAAGAACAAACTAAACTAACTAATAACATAGTTCACATGATTTTCCGAAGCAGGAAAATTTATATCTGACACATTGAAAGGTAGCCGATATAACACTCATTTTCTTTTCTCTGTGTACTCCAGGGGTAAGAGAAGCTAGAAACCAAGTTACTTGCCGGGGCGAGGTCCCAGACTCATATCCAGACTTTGAGGGTCGCGCCGCATCCGGATTTAGAACGAGAGTTAACTTAGTTTTTTTTCAGTTTGCATAGTCGCACCGAGAATTTGAGTCTGGAACGTCTGGACTTGAGTCGCGCCGTGGGCCGCGAAAGGGTGGACATCTCAAAATTTGGTCGCAAAATTCTGGTCAAGGGTCGCGAAAGTCTGGACACAAAGTTTTGTTCGCGAACTTTTGGTCGCAAAAAATTTTTTTACAACTCGTGGTTGTTGAGAAATTGAAGAATAAAAAATTGAAAAAAATGACTTCAAAACTAAAAAAGTTTTAAATAATTTTGAATTCATTTGAAAGAATTTTGATTCTGATTTTTCTTGAATTAGGAATAAACAAAATTTCCTTGAAAAACGATGAAAGCTGGCGATTTTTTGAGATTTCAGCATTGAAATGTCTTTTTTCCTAAAAATCTTCAGAGAACATGCAAGCTAATCTCGATCATTTGAAACGATACAAAAAATAATTATGAAATAAAGCATTGGACAAGAGAAAAATGAACGCTATTTTGACAGTTAATTGTTTTGCTGCATCTGCCTTGGTATGGAAAGTCGCGCCGTCTCCACCTCGGTTGTGAGGAATCAATTCTTGGTCGCACAGTCTCCGTCTTGGTCTGGAAAAACGCGCCGCCTCCACCTTGGTCTGGAAAATTGCGCCGTATCCGCCTTGGTCCGGTCCGTCTCCACTCTGATCGCTGAAGTCGCGACACATCCACCACGGTGCCAAAAAACTATTTCCCGGTTGCGCCGACTCCACCTCGGTCTTAAGGTCGCGCCGTCTCTGCCTTGGTCTGGAAAGTCATGCCGTCTCCACCCTGGTCTAGAAAGTCGCACCGTATCCACGGTCGCGAGGAACATATTCTTGGTCACGCCGTCTCCGCCTCGGTCTGAAAAGTCGCGCCGTCTCCGCCTTGGTCTGAAAAGTCCCGCCGTCTCCATTTTGGTCTGGAAATTCGCGCCGTCTCCGCTTCGGTCTGAAAAAGAGCGCCGTCTCCACCTCGGTCGCGTAGGCTTGAAATTGAAATTTTTGGTCGCGCCGGCCAGGTCGGTTGCGCCGTTGCTTTTTGAGTCGCGCCGTTTCCTGAATAGCGCCGTATCCGCCTGAGTCGCGAAAGCCTCGAAAAACTTTTTCTTAGTCGCGCCGTCTCCATGTTGGTCTGGGGACTCGCGCCGTGTCCGTTTTGGTCTGAAAAGTCTGAAAATGGCTGAACTTGGTCGCGACGCTCACGCCTTTTCTTGGGCTGCAGGGTCGCGCCTTATCCGCCTGTGTCGCGAAAATCGCGCTTGAGTTTTTTAGTCGCGAATGTCTGATAATGGCAAATCTTGTTCGCAAGAGTCTGGATAAACTAAAACTGAGTCGCCATTCTTTGGTCGGGCAACTTTCGCTTCGGTCGCGAAATTCGCGACGCATCGACATGGTTGCGAAATTCTGAAGAGATCAGGTTTTTGTCGCTAAAGTCTGGACATGAGTTTGGGACCTCGACCCAGGGTTAAACACCATGGAACTTACAAGAGATGAAAACAAAATAATAACAGTGTATAAGTTTGGTGCACAAACCTAGAGTCTACACCCAGTCCATACAAATATCTACCGGGAATATTTAGAGGATGTTGATGAAGAATTGAAAATATGAAATCGATGAAATGGTCTCAGTGTTGAACAAGCTATTATATGTTCACACTTAGCTAGTATTTTGATGGGTAGATATCCAAAAACGGCCGCAACATAAACTTGCATGTCACACCGATGATAACAAAAAGAGAGCTTGTGAGTTTTGGAACGATAATTTGTGCTAAATAGGAATTGTTACAGAAATCTCTGTTCCGTTATTGTTTCGCTATCGATAATGGAAGAAGTATTGCTCAGCTGGTCTTGAGCTGATGTGTCTACTTCGAGCAAAACTCATCCTGCAACTATCATAGAAGGGTGTATCGAGGAATTAGTGGTAATTTTCTCCTCGGATATTTCGGCTACTCGGGCGGCTTGTTTTGCAATTTCTTCCAATTGGGCAAAATCTCTGAAGGAGAATTGACGGTACTGATACCAGGCTGTAATTTCTCCTTTTCTTGCTTAGCGAAATCACCTCAAACAGTGGTTGCCTACGGCTCTTCTTCCAAAATGATGACCACTTGTCAGTCGTTGCCCAAAAATGCATCTATCATCATGGTATCGTTATAATTATTTTCTGTAAAATTTGAAAATTGTTTGTTCAAAACTTCGAATGGCTCCAATTGATACTCATTATAATGATTAAAGACAATTTTCCTAATAGAAATTGGGAAGATTAACGAAATTGGCACACTTTTCAAGTAGTAAACAAACGAATGAACGAAAAACAGAATTTTTTTTTGAGATTTATAATCTAAAGAATGAACGCAGATTTAATTTTGGAATTCGGTAAATTCTCTATCGAATCGGTGTTTCTGGATGATGGTTTAACGCCTTCATTGGACAATTTAAACCCCAACTTTTCCGTACATTTTTTTTAATAATGCGCATTTTAATGCGATAACAATTGTATCCGCCTGGGTCGCGAAAGTCGCGCCTGTGTTCATCGGTCGCGAAAGTCTGAAAATGACAAACTTTGGTCGCAAGAGTTCGGATAAACTAAATTTGAGTCGCCATAATTTGGCCGGGAGTAGTAGAAGAGTAGGAGAGAGTGAGGGGAATGTTGAAGACCCCATGTATTAAGATGGGGAATAGAGCATCCGGTCTGCAAGCTATGCTTTAAAATAGGGAATAGATTCAGAATGTATTAAGATAGGTAATAGGTTTCCTAATGTATTAACATGGTAAGGTTTCAGATGAAAAGTTTCAGATTTTTTTTTGTTTCCGACTTTTTTTTGAGCTCGATGGTGTCAATGTTTGCGTTTCTTAGCTAAATACTACAATTTGGAAGTTTTGATTAACGTTTTTATATGTTTGAAACTATGAAAAACTATCTACAGCTTTAATGAAACCTAACGAAACTTCGAGAAAAAAAATCATGTTTTTTTTAAAAACAAAAGTATTAAACTCAAAAGATGAAGTATATAAATCACTGCTTCGTATAATCATTTTATCACAAGTTTTTAGTTAGTCAACCAATACCGAATTGAGTGCTATTAGGTTATCAGTTATTTACAAGTTCAAAGCTTTTGTGTGCATTCCGTCGTCCTGAAGTTGTCTTTTCGGGTAAAAGTAATTCAATCCCTTCTTTGTTTGCTCGTATGTAACAACCAAATGAATAATGGTTCTAAATCTTCTATATGTTGAAGTCAAGTTGATTGCTTCGTCGAGTACCTTCCTGCATTTTTCCATAGAGTCATAGTCGGAATCCTCAAGAACTTTTTTATTCGATCCTTTGCTGCTATATTTCATCTTGTCTGATTTGTTGTCATAGCAACCATAAGTCTTGCTACATAAACATAGCATCTCCGTACACATAAATTCTTCTTTAAACAGTCCAGGCTCTCACTCATTGTGTTTCATGTGAACGCTACAACATGTTCGAGGGAAAAATTGTTTTTTGGAATCCGCTCTAAATGAATCTCTGCAATCATTTTTTCTCAATTTTTCTCAGTCATCTTTTTTATCCGGACGATTACAATCATACAGGTTTTCTTCGGCAAGAGCTATATAAAGCGAGTCCGTGTCCATTTCTAATTCCTCAAATTTATTAACATCACAAGTTTTGTCGAAAAATTGTAGTGAAGTTCAAGCACTCTCAGCTTAGCATACTGCAGAATGAAAAATCCGACAATTATGGGTTCTTTGTGCTCAATTGTTGACTCTAGTAACTCAATCTCGTACAAGTCCTTCTGAACAGTGTTCCATCGTTTGAGGAAAGGTTCATTAATTGCTTTGCGTGTTTTCTCATCATTCAAATACTTTGTGATCGTATGTCTCGATCTATCCATTATCTGGTAACCGTAGGATGAATTATCTAAAAACTTCATAGTCTCTGCAACAACACTGGATAAAGGCTTCTCATCTCCTTCCCTTCTAGCATCAACAACTGACTGAACAAACTTTTTGAAGCATTTTCGAGGGAGATACTCTACAAAGCGGTACTCTTTTGTACACTGTAAGCCAAGTTCCATATAGAATTGCAAAAGAAGAGTAATGATTGAACCATTTTCTAGTTTGAAACTAGATATTAGCAATCGCTGGAGATGCTTAAGAAGACATTTTCAATGGCTTAATTTTGCATATATTCCCCAGTATCATTTCTTCCTCCTTCAGTGTTTTTGAAAATTGGAGGAAGTTAGCAAATTTAGTGTTCAGTTCATCTGGAACAACTAAGTCACACTGAATATAGCCATAAAGGGATCCATCTCTTATTTTTTCCAATAAAAGATCAGTAGAGAGGCCTTTTGTAGCAAAAATTGGATCGGATATGATTCTTAATTTTTTCGTTCGTTTTGAAGTTTTTCCACCGCTCACATTCCCACTTTTTTTCGATTTTGGATCGTTTTTCGCGAATATACTCACGTCTCAAGTCATCCATCTCTCCCCTTTTGTTTCCTCTCTCAATATCTTCATCGCTCAGTGAGGGACGAGTGTCCTGGCAGGGACAGAAGTGGTAATATATCCCAGCGCTTCAAACACTGCTTTTGCAGTGATCGCAATATCCATCTACATTGAAACAGTCAATTTTCTTTTGCTTTCCAGATGTGTGAAAGCTCTCAACTCTGCATTCTGGTCTTGTTTCTT